TGGAAGTGGCAAAAGGGGAAGTCCTTGACGCAGGAGGAGTTCTGGGCTGCACTGGAAGAGCATGCAGAGCACCAGCACTTGATGGCTTGTTGTGGGAATGTGAAGCCGTTCATGAAGGGTCGTGACAAGTCGGAATGGAAGGAAAAGGGTCTAGTGAGAACTCACATCTACTCCATCTTGCGGGTTGTGTCTGAGAAACTCGACGATGGAGTTCCCATCAAGCTGATTGAGGTGCGCAACCCCTGGGCGTGGGGAGAATGGAATGGAGATTGGTGCGACACTGGCAGCAAGAGTGGTGAATCTGGCAAGTGGCTGGAGAATCCGCAGTTGCGAGAGAGACTTCTGGGCACTTCAGGAGTAGATGGAGCTTTTTTCATGAGCTATGAAGACTTCGTGAAGTTCTTCACTGCTGTCTCAGTATGTCCTCTTGGTTCGCCCGAGGGACATGAGCCCGATGAGGATGTGCAGGAGGGCTCTGGTGATGAAGACGAGCTCGAGGATTTGGAGGTGGACTGAGATCTGAGGAGCCATGAGGAGCCATAGCACACAAAGGTGGCTGATGGCTGCAGATAGCCGCGGCCTCACCGCTGATTGCGGGACTCCAAACTGGATCCCAAAGTTGTTGAACAAAGTCGCGAAAAGGCGAACGAGCTTACTATGGTGGCCTTTCCGTGGGGTTCTTCTATTTCAGCTGTTTACACATTGTAACAAATGAAGTGTGAGTCCAGCATAGTAGTATCCTTCGATTAATTGCCCCCCTCTGACCTTTTGTAAAATCTTTGAGTTCTGCAAGATCTGTTGTGTGCAAAAAATATATATGACATGTCCTTGCAAAAGTGCGGGAAGACTAAGATAGTATTGGGCAGTACTGCTACTATAGGATTTGGTAATACAATGCTACTGGCTGCTTTAGAATTTGAGTCGAGAAGGATGCCAAGATCATTTGAGTGTTTTTCCCATCAGACTCGATGAATTTTGAGATGTCCAATGAGATGGATTGACACTCCACGAGGTTGACAATCTTCCCAAATGAGATTCCGGAAGTGATGAGATGTCCAATGAGATTGATTGAAGTTCCATCAGATTGATATGGTTTCCTAGTGGTTCAATGAGATTCCACACAACCGATGAGATTCCCCGCAAGATGAAGCGAATTTCAATCAGACTGACATTGTTCCCCGATGGGATGGTATGAAATTTGGAGGGATTTCAAATGAGCTTGATGGACATAGGAGACTCTATAAGAATTGATGTGGAGAGTTTGTTCTAAACAAATGTGCTTGGGGATGGCCCGGGCTAGTTCAGGGTGCAAAAAAGTTATGTTGAGGAGATGCACCAGTTGCAATACAGTACTTTGAGTATTCGTTCGGTCCAGCGATGCGGTCGAGTTCAAGCCAGATGTTTATTCCTTAGCTGACATCGTTTCAACCAAGCAGCCCACGGAGTCAAAGGCTTTCACCATTCCACTTGCAATGTGTGATGTTTGGATTGCTTGGGGGCTTTGCCGTCGAGCCAGAAGGTGCCTTGCCCCGTTTTGGATGCGAGGCACTGACATCCGGAACCACTTTTGCAGCCGCTTGCCGCTGGTTTACTTGCTTGGTTCATTTCTCTTCATTCCGATTTGCACCTACCTGTTCCTCTTGGGTACGCATACAGCACCTTAGCTGAATTGATCAATGCATCCATGTGCTGCGTGATTTCATTCTGAGATCAATCAGGCAGAATCAACTTAACCACTGGGCTTTGCCAAGAAAGAATACACGGCAGCCGCACAGAAGACTAACGAGTTCTCCTGCACCAAACTCAAAGAACTGACAACTTGTCACGGTCGTGTTTTTTGGGGATGCCCCCTGCTGGGGCTCTTCTAAGGCGATACCAAACCGGCCACCGTTCCAACACAAAGCCCCATCTCAGCAGTTCTTTGCGGCTAGGAAGGCCCAGAGGCGGTGGGCATCATGATCCTGGGCTTCATCCCAGGCGGACCAGGCTCCTTGACCTTCAGCGCAGTGGCAAGAGCCGACACCGCGCTGAACATGGCCCCTCGATCAGGGAATGGAGACGATTCGCAGGCAGTGCAGCGTGTTTGAAGCCATGGCCCCACCTTTGGCCAAAGCAATGTGACCTTTTAGGAGCATGTTGTCTCGGCTGTGTCCATGGGTTGTAAATCGTGGGCCATTTGCTATGAGAATGGCCGCCCACTCTGCAAATCAATGCAGTCTTGAACGTGACGTGATGCGCGACTGCTCCGCAGCATGCAAGGTTGCATGCTAGCCGAGAATGGCAGATCATCCAAGCTGAGGTGTTGACCAACGTAGCTGGCGTAGCAACTCGGCATTTCATTTCTTGAAGTAGGTTGCTCGGAGTGGTGCAGAGTGGGGCTGGAGATACTCGCACAAATTTGTAACCTTGGTAGATGTTTGTTTCGCTATCTGGGTTTCAACGGCCCAGAGGTTTTTACATGGCTTATTTGTTGCCTTTGCCATATGCCTGCTGCATTTTTTGGGGCAGATGGTGGAAATATCTCTGGAGATGTGACTGGACGACCTTGAGCACTGTCCTGAACTGGTGGTCTGGGGAATTGAACCTCTGTGAGCCTTGCGAGCCTGTGGCTTTGGGGAGTTCACCACTGCCTTTGCGGGTTAGCCAGTTTGGGGCCTTGAACTCCCACCGCAGGGTGGCCGATGGACGCTGCAGGTCGCTCCATCCATCATACATCCATCCACCCACCCATCCATCCACCCATCCATCCATCCAACCAACCAACCAACCATTCATCCGCCTATCCATCCATCCATCCATTCCCTCGTTCTTGTGGAGGGCCATGGAAAAAGCATCCCCAACCTCCAAGCCACCAATCTAAAAACCACCAACTAGGGAGAAGCTGATGAGTTTGTGGTGATCGAACTTTGCTGCTGTTGCACTTCCCATGCAGGCCGTCACGCTTAATGAACATTCAGCCTGCGCAACAGTTTCTTCCGGGCCTGATGGGCTGCTTTCTTGCTGTTCTCATACTGCTCCTGCTGAGCTGATCACTGAGCTTTTGCCTGCTGAAAGTTAGGGCTATTGCCAGCTTGAACATGCCGGATGCATTTTGTCCAGCAACCTTATTCGATTCTGGCCTCTCATCCTGAAGAAGGAGCAGCATTACAGAACATTGCAAACATTGTACTTCTGATTCAATCTTAGGGAGTCGCAGGCTTAACATAGTCTGCATGTCAACACGTACATGATATGTTACGCTCAAGTACAGGGAGTTCCTCTTTTAGGCTTCGCAGAACGGAGAGAGAGAGAGAGAGAGAGAGAGAGAGAGAGAGAGAGAGAGGGAGAGAAAGAGAGAGAGAGAGAGAGAGAGAGAGGGAGAGAAAGAGAGAGAGAGAGAGAGAGAGCGAGAGAGGAGATGAGAGGGGAGGAGAGGAGAGAGAGAGAGACCACAGCTTGGCTGCTGATTTTGACCACTGCTTTGGTCGGTCGGTCCAAGCAATGTGTACGTGCTACATGTACTGTGCTACTTAACAGTGACGTGTGTCTTTCAATGGGAACTGAGGTGCTGGTACCTGCCATGCCACTGCTGTGCCTGAGTTACCTCAGCACCTTCACACAAAAGACCACCATGCGTGTGAACTACTGGGGCCTCTTGGAATCGCGCCGCAGCCCGCGTTAATGCATGGCTTCTCGTGACATCATTATGAGACCCGATTGAGAGGCGAAGCTGCAAACAGGAATGTTGGTTCTGCAGGGCTTTGACACGTTTGCAAGAAAGCCTGTCTGACTCTCCGACTGTCCTGTGCCAGTGGGATCTTGTTTGGTTGCGCTTGATGATGACGACGATGATGACCATCATGATGATCATGATGATGATGCTGCTGATGATGCTGATGATGATGCTGATGATGATGATAACCATGATGACAAAGATGACCATGATGACCATGATGACCATGATGACCATGATGATGATGATGATGATGATGATGAGGATGATGAGGATGATGAGGATGACGATGACGATGACGATGACGATGACGATGATGACGACGATGATGATGATGACGATGACGATGATGATGACGATGACGATGACGATGAAGATGACGGTGACGGTGACGGTGACGGTGACGATGACGATGACAATGAAGCCGATGAGGTTCAAACTCGGATGCGCACGACTCAAGTACTGTACTCGAGCCCCGGGCTCTGCATTCCAGTTGACGCAACATCCAACTCATGCAAAGTTTGTTTTTGCACCATGAGCCCCCAAGGTGCATCTATGTTTTTGTGCCAGTCGCTGCTGGCGTGTGGGCGCGACACAAGAGCCCGCGGATTCGATCTATCATCGAGCGTCGCTTGGCGCCCTGTTTTTTGTTGGATGTTGTGTTTGTGCTTTGAGGGGGGTGTTGAACGTGTGTTTTGCACACTGACACTTCCAGGGCAAAACCAATCCTTGATTCATGCATGAATCAGTCTAGCAAGCCGCCACCAAGTCAAACACACTGACACTGGGGGCGGCACAGAAACAGACACATACATGGGAAGAGACGCAGTCATGCAGAATGCTGATCCAATGCCACGCACACACAGGAAGACCTCGCACAGACACAGAGAGGCACGCACACAAACGCACAACATAGCACAACCACACACACAGACAAACCGGCACAGAGCTGCGCGCACGCACAGACTACAGTATTTGTTTCCAGGCTTCCGGAGTTGGCCCGCAGCATACATTGCACCCTGGCACGTAATCGCAGAGAGACACATACACACGTATCCTGATGACACACAGACGCAGAGACAGGCTGACCTACAACAGACAACGAGGGAAGACACAGACACAAACACTGCGTGAAGTAGAGGCTGTTCCAGTCTCAATTTTTCAGGATTTTATTTGGGCAGCACGGTTGCAGTACGTGTTCCATTTTACATTTCCACAAAATTCATCATTTTGAGACAGATGACACACTGGCTTTCACTTTTGAACTGACGCCGCCTGGAAGCGGTCTTGTAGGCGTGACACTTCAACTGTCATGCAGCGTTTACTCGACGTGTCGTATCGAGGAAACAGACATGAACAGCCACAGCATTACTTGTTTGTCAATAAGGTGTGATTTGAAGCGACCGCCAACGAGATGTGCACAATATGTTCACGCTCGAGAGACGCTCTACAATATGAAATGGCACAATATGAATGGGAGTAGGAGCAATACCCTGGTGAACGTGACATCCACTGTCAACAAAGTGAGCAGTGAATTGTGTTTTCTGCCCATTGCGGGAGGACGTGTGTCTTGGCACGTGTTTTACTGAATGAACAAGTTTGCCTGGGACTCGCTGAGAAAGTAGATGGCCGGAACCCTTCTCCCACAACAGTTCCATGCTCCCAAATACCATCTAGCCCCAAGCAGCACAACAAGAACTAAGCCACGTACTTCATGTAGACTGGTGATATTATCATATTTCGGTGGCGCCTGTAGCTGGCACAGCCATACCAGCATTGCACAGAGGTGGCGATGTCTTGGCAG